AAGCAAATGAATGTATTGAAAATAAAGTCACAGGGGCTGGAGAGATGGCTCAGTAGGACCATCTCAGTGGAGAGATGGCTTCCAGAGGACCCGGGGTTCAATTCCCAGCACCCACATGGCAGCTTACAGTTGTCTGAAGATCTGACACCTTCACACCAATGCACATAAAATAAAAAAGTTAAATAAACCATAAAAAATAATTAAAAAAAAGAAAATAAAGTCACAGAAAAATGTATCATGCAGACAGCAACTGTTACAAGAAACTTTCAGAGGCAGGTGAGGGGACTTACCTGGTGATCTCAGCACAGCAGGCTTGGGTGGAGCTAATGCCAAATTTGAGGCTAATCTGGTCTACATAAGATCCAGGACAATGTAGGCTACCTGTTCACAAAAATAAATTAAAAAGGGGGAAGACATTTTCATTTAAATAAGCAGCCTTCAAGCAGCTATCACCTGGGTGCTAGAAATGTCTCGGTGATTAAGCGCATGCATTGTTCTTGTAGATGGCTCAAGTTCAGTTCCCAGCACCCATATCATGCATATCACTCCTGCCTATACCCAGCTCCAGGGGATCTGACATTTGCCTCCTCATACGCAGACAAATACACATACACACGGAAAAAAAAAAAAACAAAACACAGCCACCCCTCATACTGGAGTGGGGCTTTTCAGTGATGCATGCACCTGTAAGCGAGCCGGATCAACTCTGGTTCACCAAGCTGCACTTGCATGGAAGCACACCTTTGGTCTATCACTGGTGCTCTATCCGGGGTGAACAGACACATGTTTACATCTCCTGAAGAAAAACGACCATGATAATACTAAACAGGATTAGCGAGTTGGCCGGTGTCGTTCCTCTGAGCCTCTCCTCAGTTTGCAAAGGCTGTCTTCTCACTGCTGTTTCTTCCTCTCCAGGTGTGGTCACACACCTCTAATTCCAGCAGAGGTGCATTACTCTGAGTTTAAGACTAGTCTGGTACATAGTGAGACTGTTTAAAAGAAAACTGCTATCATTACTATGGGATTTGGTATCAACCCTTACTTAATTTTAATTACCTTTGGTTTTTTTGGGGGTGGGGGCAGAGTTTCCCTATGTAATTTTGGACTGTTCTGGAACTAGCGCTGTAGACCAGACTGGCCTTGAACTCAGAGATCTGCACGCCTCTGCCTCCTGAGTGCTGGGATTAAAGGTGCGGGCCGCCACTGCCAGGCTAGCCAGCTGTTCTTATTATCCTGTCTTTTGCCTCTGGGCTTTTTTAGTTTTCTCTATTTCTGTATACTTCTTACTCTGTGGCTTGCTGTAGAGCTGGTGGCTGGCCCCTGGAGTCCTCCCCTCCTTCTCCTTTTCTTGCTCTTTGATCCTTTTTTTCTCTCCCCGATTTCACCTCCTATTTATTCTCTGTGTCTGCCAGGCCCGCCTATTGGCCATTCAGCTCTTTATTAGACCAATCAGGTGTTTTAGACAAAGTGCCAATGCTTCACAGAGGTAAACAAATGCAACATAAAAGAATGCAACATATCTTTGCACCATTAAACAAATGCTCCACAGCATAAGCGCATCTAAAAAATATTCCACAACAGTATGCTACTTTAAAACTTTATTAAAAGAGGTGGGAGGGGACTGGAGAGGTGGCTCAGTGATTAAGATCATATGCTGCCTGGTTTCAGTTCCCAGTTATAAACTGGACAAACTACATACATGGCAGTTTAAAACTACAGTTCAAGGGGATCCAGAGCTCTACTGTCCTCCTTGGGCATCTTGCACAAAATATGCATACATACGTGCAAACAAAACCCTCATACACATCTGAAAAAAAAGGAGGTGGTGGTCAAAAGCAATGAAGTGTAAGAGGGCAGAGGGAAGTTAACCGAGTTTTGTTGTTTCCATGTCCTAAATATGTCTAGAAGCCAAAGTAAATAATCTCCATAGCAGCACAGCTATGGGTAAAATACATTGACTCCCGAGTAACCTCAGAAAGTAGGTAAGGTTTAACAGACCAATAGGTAACTGTACCTTCTTTCATTTGAAACCACTGAGCACAGATGAAGATACATACATAACTAAAAATTATCACTAACCTCACTCAGCTTTACCTTATGGAGTATACTTTTCATTTTGATTAACATGCTTCTTTTTGAAAATGATTTACTTAAAGCTGAACAACAGAAGAGAGGAATCCATAATGCCAAGCCTTGTGACTTCCTCCATACTGGGACTTGAAGGCATATTTTAGGCCTTCAACTTTTATCAACTTGCATCTTCAAAGTTTTTCCTCTAAAAACTTTATCAACTTTTTAGAGGAAAAGATTATATAGTCTTTTCCACACCAACTTTTTTTTAAAAACATTTATTTATTTATTATGTACACAGTGTTCAGCCTCCATATATGCCTGCAGGCCAGAAGAGGGCATCAGACCTCATTACAGGTTGTTGTGAGCCACCATGTTGTTGCTGGGAATTGAACTCAGGACCTCTGGAAGAGCAGTCAGTGCTCTTAACCTCTGAGCTGTCTCTCCATCCCCCCCCCAACTTTTTCTTTCATTAACAACAAAGAATAGACTTTTTGTTCCTATTAAAATATTTCTAGCCGGGTGGTGGTGGCCCACGCCTTAAATCCCAGCGCTCGGGAGGTAGAGGCAGGCAGATCTCTGTGAGAGGCCAGCCTGGTCTACAAGAGCTAGTTCCAAGGACAGGCACCAAAGCTACAGAGAAACCCTGTCTCCAAATATAGAATGTAGAAGTATTATTTTTAATTAAATCTTGTGTATGATGGTGAAGATGCAAGCATGCCAACGAGCACATGTGAAGAACAGAGGACAATTCTGTAGAGACCAGCTCTTCTTATAGTTTTACATGGGTTCCAGGGCTCAAACTCAGGTTTGCAAGGAGTGTTTTACCTGTCCTTATCTCAAGGACAGGGTCAAATAACTGACCCCAGATAACTTCTCTGAGATGCTGAGGTGATTTGAAAAAAAATGACTTTCCCCCTCCGTGCTGGGCAGTGATGGGGCACGCCTTTAATCCTAGCACTCCGGAGGCCAGCCTGGTCTACAAGAGCTAGTTCTAGGACAGGCTCCAAAGCCACAAAAGAAACCCTGTCTAGAAAAACAAACAAACAAACAAACAAACAAAAAAACAAAACAAAACAAAGGCCCCCAAAGGGAGTGGCACTAATGTAAGGTGTGGCCTTGTTAAATTTGTCACTGTGGAGGCAGGCTTTGCGGTCTCATAGATGCTTAAGATAGTGCCCAGTGTCTCAGACCAATTCCTGCTGCATGCAAGATGTAGAACTCTCAGCTACTTCTCCAGCACAATGTCTGCCTGTATGCTACCATGCTTCCCATCATAAAGATGGACTGAACCTCTGAACTGTGAGCCATCCCAATTAAATGTTTTCCTTCATAAGAGTTGCTGTGGTCACGGTGTCTCTTCACAGCAACAGAAACCCCTAATCCAGATGTGAAATACATTTTACCAAGGTAGAACATGTCAATAATGAAGCAACATAATGTAAGAGCTACTCTTTAGCTTTGCAATGCAGATCATTTGAGTAACTTTCTCTTCTTTCAGGATTCTGTGTAGCTGTCTGTCCTGGAACATGCTTTGTAAACTAGGCTGGCCTGAAACTCAGTGATCTACCTGCCTCTGACTTTCCCAAGTGCTGGTATTAAATGCATGTGCCAGCAACGCCCAGAATAACTTTTCTTTTTTAGTGTATTGCCTGCATGTATGTGTGTGCAGCATATGTGTGCCTGGTGCTGGTGGTCAGAAGAGAATGTTAGATCATCTGGAGTTATAGGTGGTTGTGAGTTGCCTGATGGAGACAGGGAAGAGTACCCTGGGTTCTTTAGGAGATCATGTGCTCTTAAGCAATTAGCTCTCTTGCCAGCCCACGAATGATTGTGTGGAAAAAAAGTATTGTGTGGAAAACAGTAGAATGAATAGCAATTTCAGAGCTAGTAGAGCAGAGCAGGGCATTACAGGGTCTCAGGGATAGGGTCAGTACTTTGGCAGGTAACTGATTACTTTTTAAATATTATTTGTATGTTCGTCTGTGTGTAAACGTTACACCTTGCATGCCTGGTGCCTGTGTTGGTCATAAGAGGATGTCAGACCCCTGGAACTGCAGTTATGGATATCTATGAGCTGCAAGGTGGGTGCTGGGAATCAAACCTAGGTCCCCTGCAAGAACAGGTATTTTTAATGGCCGAGCCATTTCTATAGCACCTGTTTAAGGTTTCTTTTGCTTTGAAGAGATACCATGACTACAGCAAGTCTTATAAAGGCAAACATTTAATTGGGGCTGGCTTACAGCATAGAGGTTTAGTCAATTATCACCATGGAAGGAAGAAATTTTGTATGCAGGCAGACATGGTGCTTGGAGAGGTATCTGAGAGTTCTACACTTGGATCCCAGGCAGTAGGAGACACAGAGCCATTGGGCCTGGTTCGAGCTTGGAAACCTCCAACAAGACTATGCCATAGGGAGTAGTCTTAGCAGTGCTGCTCCCTATGGCGCCTATTTTAATTCAAACCACCACATTCCAGTAAGGCCTTTTCTGTGTAAAATAAAGGGATTAAAAGCAAGTGGTTTTAGTAGCCTAAACTAGTTACAAAGGACTAAATGCTGACAATAACTTGGCTTGAAATGCTTAGGCTGCATTTAGTTCACTTTGAGACGTGGTCTTATAATGTATAGCCTTGGCTGGTCTCAAACTTAAGACATGTCCTTGCCTTCCAAATGTTGGTACTCCGCAACCAACACGAGTAATACCCTATGTATTCTCTGAGGAATGGGAACATGATGATACTTAAAACCAAAAGGCCGGATGGTTGGTGGTGGCACACGGCTTAAATCCCAGTACTCAGGATCTCTGTGAGTTTGAGGCTAGCCTGGTCTATTAAGTTCTAGGACAGGCTCCAAAGCTACAACAGAGAAACCCTGTCTCAAAAAACAAAAGCAAGCAAGCAAACAAACAAACAAAAAACGCACATTCTGATTTTGTTTAAAAAATTGTTTTCATTTTAATGATCTGAGTTAGTAACAAATATACAAAATTGTCTTTCACATTTCCATACATGGTATAATGGACCAGCTGAAAACTCTGGACTACAAATGCAGGCTTCTTTGTATCCTTAGGCTTAGTTGTTTGTTTTATAAATAGAGGTTATTTTGAAAACGTGCATTTGTGAACACAGATGTCAAAAGTTGTGCATCTGAGTCAATGCACAAATAAGAGTTGCACACTGTTCATTTGTGCGGTTGTGTCAAGTACACCTGACACAGGAGCAGCTAGCCTGGGCTATCAAGTACACCTGACACAGGAGCAGCTAGCCTGGGCTACTTCACTGTATTTCAAAAGCATTGTTGTGAAACAAAACATTTAAAACAAAAATTACATTCTGCAAATACATTAAGATTTGTAACCTACACATCTGAAACAAAGCTGCACTAATAACCCGAGCTGACGTCGTCAGGGAATCAAGTGCAGAGAGATCGGATTACAAGGAAAGTGAAGAGACTCGGGAACCACTCATCTGAACCAGCAAAGGACACCAACACACAAACCAAAACAACTTATGGGTATATCCTTACAGCTATAGGTTGGAATTTATCTGCTTCAAGAAAAATAAATAGTAAACAGAAAAATTAGTTTTAAAATGTGAAGCTCTGAAAATAGCCCTAAAGTGTAAACACATCTATAAATTTCATGTTTTAGAAATTTAGATAAATTTAGAACATTCAAAATTATATGAAAATGTATTAAACATTTAAGAATAGGATTATTTCCTATCTTACCAATACTTTCAATTTGGCAAAATCATAGCTTCTAGTTCAACTTAACGTGATAAATCACCATAAACTCAGACATATTAGGGCTCAAGTAGTAACTAAGTTATATCAAAATAGCAAGGAGGCCCCTTTGGCAACCACTTTTCTGGGCTAGTAACAAATATCAACACAGAATACCTTTCTCATGAAATCACTCTAGATCTCTATGTGCGTCTGAGGGATGGGGGACGGGAGGAAGCCCAGAGCCTCTGCACTGAGCTACATCCCAACACCAGATCGCTATAGGTAGGAGAGTTCACGCTTTCTTAACATCTTCCTAGATCATGGCAACATGTGCTTCATCTTTTTTTACAACCTGCTTTCCTATACCATACATTTCAAATTCCCTGGCAAACACTAACCAACTAACTATTTATTCAGCTTCCTATAGAGAAATGGGTATAATATAGTTCTACTTTTTGCTAAGGCCTGAGGTTGATATTTCCTATGCTATATAGAATAAATGAGGTGAGAATGCATCTAAACAACAGGGTCTCTGAGGGAGGATCAGAGGACTTGTGAATTGATTTTTCTAAGGGGAATACAATTATAAACTGATGGAGGGCAACTGCAGTTCAAAAAGAAATGGAAAACCAGGCATGGTGGCACATGCCTATAATCCCAGCATTCTGGAGACGAGGCAGGGCGACTGCAATGAACTTGGAGCCAACTTGGACTACATAGTGAGTTCTAGAACAGCCTGGGCTAAAGTGTGAGACCCTGCTTTAAACAACAAAAAACAAAAATAGAAATGTGTATTTTTGTGGTAAGATTAACCTTATATTCATTTGTGAAAATGAAGTTCAAACATACTTCATACTTTATAATTCAAGATGAAGGTAAAAGTATATAAGCATGCCAACGCTATGATGGAAACATACCTACTGTGCCCAGGGTCAATAATAAGAATGGAATATGGCTGCTTCCTGCTCTCCTCTGCTTGTAAAACAAATCTCATGATTTTCCTGCCATGGGCATCTCCCATATGAGCTACATAAAATAAGCCTGATAGGTTGCTTTTGTTGTCAAATAAACATTTTAAAACTTTCAGAAGTGGTACATTTGACCCTGGAGAGTAACTTCCATTACTTGGTATTACTGAGTCTAATATCAGGTACAAATGTTAAGGATATTGCTTTTAATAGGAAAATCACCAGAAGTAAATATGTTAGCGTAACTCAGATGCTTATTTTCACCCAATGTAACAGTGTTTTATTCTTAAATGAAGTGGCATGTTAACTTCAATTCTTGTCAGTTTACTGTCTGCGAAAAACCAAGACAGCAAGCTTATCCATGTAAGTGTGTCTTACTTGGGCACTGAACAGGAACACTGCTTTTTAGATAGGGAGTAAGGCACTAAACGGTGGTGAAATAAAAAGGTATGAGTTACTTTTTTAGAATAATAAAAATGGCGATCGTTTAGAATGACACTATTAAATTTTCTTCACAAACAAGGCATCCTATTGGCAGCAAAAAGAAACAAAAAGTCATGATGAACCTAATACATTCACTGTCTCAGCTAAACCACTTGAAATGTCATCAAACTTAAGAAAGCTACACTAGGGTGCGGAAGGGTTAAAGGCACCAAAGGAGAATTCCACTTCCAGTTCTGAGAGCTAGGAAAGCTGTGTGTAACACTGCATACCGTCTTATTAATTAGTTTGTGTATGTATGTGCGTGCAGGGGACAGGACTTGCAGAAGTTGGTTCTCTTCTTCCAAGTATGGGCTTTGGGAATCAAACTGTTAGGCTTGGCAGCAAGAGCCTTTACCCAATGGGGCATCAAAATTATCAGCAGTTAAGTTTTTGTTTGTTTTTTTGTTTGTGTTTTTTCAGGACAAGGTCTTAGTTTGTAGCTCTGGTCTTCTAAAAGCATACAATGTAGAACAGGCTGGCCTCAAACTCAACCAGGTTGGCCTCGAGCTCACAGAATGCCACCTGCATTGCTTCTGCCTCCCAAGTGCTGGTATGAAAGACGTGCGCTACTACCATCTGGCAGTAGTTGATTTTTACTTTGACAAATCAGTATAAATCAAGTGCTAGTTTGGTAAGAAATTTATTTTATGAAATATGAAATTAGTGCAGTGTTTCACACAGTCCCATTTATAAAGCTAAACTAATTCTAGCACCAAATGAATATTCCAAGTAACACTAAGGCAAAACAAAAATGGCTACCTCAAGACAGAATCTACAATGCAAATGATAAGTACCTACACAGGGTATACTGAAGACAATGAAGTATGGATAGAAAAATTAAAACCACATTTTCTCTGTGAAAAATAAAACTATTAGTAAAATAATAAAATGTACAATTGAAAATTTTCCAAAGGAAAAAAAAACACACTATAAACAAAAATACTTTTCTTTAAAACAGGGAAAATAGTACGTCACTTTTTTTTCCATCATCACAATTGAACTTGACACAAAAAGCAGTCACAGGATTGCACAGTTCCACACCCAGTTTCCTGGACATGTTAAAGGACTCGATAGAGCAGAGCGCAGCTTCTGAGTTTCATGTTTTAAACTCAAGACATTCTCATATAGGATGTCACACCATACCAGATCAGTTTACAAAATGTACAATACTTTCCACACCGTGGCCAGTCATGAATGATACCTGCCACCTCTTTTCTTTCGTCCTGACACCAGTCACGGGGAGCCAGGCCACTTCAGTGTCATCTCTCTAGCAGTAAAGGTATACTTAGTGCATGCTTTATCATTTTGTCAAAAGACGCTTCTGAAAATGAAAACTCAGTCACCCCACAGTTTAAAAAATAGAAAAATCATTCATTAGGATAAAATGACTGGCTTCCGTGGCAGCACCATTGTCCTCAGCAAGGTCCTGATCAAAGTCCCCCATGGTATTGGGTATGTCTGCAAGACACCACTGCTGGAGATGTGATTATCTGTGACAATATGACATTTCATTAGTGCTATAAAAAGGTGGGATGTTGTGGAAATGTTAGGAACATTTCTGTTGCACATGATTTAGAAGTTCTCCAAATTTTTCAAATAGGTCCTCCACCCACTTTACATTTTTCATACAAAGTTGAACAATTTCTTCCTGTCCTAAATCTTCATTTTTTTTCTGAACAGACGATATCTAAAATAAAGAAATAATTTGTTGAATTAGTTTACACAAGATCACTTTTCTTAAGACTTAGAAGCTTTCTTTCTTTTTGGTTTTTCGAAAAAGGGTGTCTCAGAGTAACATCTGTGGCTGTCCCGGAACCTGCTTTGTAGATCAGGCTGGCCTCCAACTCACAGGGATCCGCCTGCCTCTGCCTCCCGACACCATCCGATGACTAAAATATTTTCTAAGGCTTTACTAATGCACCGGAAGATACTCTCTTGGCTGACCCAGATGATAAATACTGTTTTATATAAACTTATATTTTGCCTGCGTGCCTAATACCTACAAGAGGCCATGAGGGTGTCAGACTTCTTGGAACTGGAATTACAAATGGTTATGAGCCACCATATGGGTGCTAAGAATTGAACCCAGGTCCTCTGGTAGATCAGCCAGTGCTAAACTTCTGAGCTGTCTCCAGTCACCCCCGCACCCAAAGGACAAATACTGATGTCAACTCCGTCTAATCACTGTAAAAACAGTCAACATAGCTCGTATCACCATCTTTGCTTTCTCCTCTAGACTTATGACCATCTGTCTATATGAGGCTACTGCCCAACACATCAGGGGCAGCTCTGTGCTAATTAAACCTGGTAATTACAAAACTCAATACTATGAGGCTGGAGAGGGCTCAGATGTTAGGAGCAGTTGCTGATTTTGAAGACCTGGGTTTGGTTCCCAACATCCATATGGCGGCTCACAACTGTCTGAACTCTAGTTCTGACATCTGAAGACACGTCACAAACATGGTGCACATATATACATATAGGCAAAATAAAATTAAGCCTTAAAAAAATGAAAAACAAACAAACAAACACTGAGTTTAAGGTCAGCCTGGTCTACAGAGTGAGTACCAGGACAGCCAGTAATACAGAGAAACCCTATTTTGAGGAAAACAACAACAACAAAAAACAGCTGATGTCACATATGACTTTTCCATCTCAAATTTATAACACTAAAAAATTTATAATTCTAATCTTTCTTTCTTTCCTGTTTTGTTTTTTGGGGGGGGGAGGGGACATGATCATCATGGGTGCTGGAGCTAAAGGACCGTGTGATGGAGGAGGGTTATCTGTCTATTGTGTTATTTTCATTGGTCAATAAAGAGACTGCCTTGGCCCCTTGATAGGACAGAAAATTAGGTTGGCGGAGTAAACAGAACAGAATGCTGGGAAGAGGGCTATGAGGCAGAAGCCATGGAGCCAGTCACCAGGTCAGACATGCTGAATCTTTCCCGGTAAGCCACACCTTGTGGTGCTATACAGATTATTAAAAATGGGTTAATATCAAAATATGAGAGTTAGTCAGTAACTAACCCTCTAGAGATAATGGGCCAGACAGTGCTTAAATGAATACAATTTGTGTGTTGTTATTTCCGGGGCTAAGCTAGCTATGCAGGAACCGGGCGGGATAAAAAGCAGGCCTGCCCACAGCCCCTCACTACAACCGTGCTACCATGCCTGGCTCAAAACACCATGTATTATGAAATTGTAATCAAATGCTACCAACTTACAAAAATTACCAGTTTTTAATCTTCTTCTTTTTTTTTTTTTCCTTTTTCTGGAGATAGCCCTGTGTAACAGCCCTGGCTGTCTTGGAACTAGCTCTTGTAGACCAGGCTGGCCTTGAACTCACAGAGACCTGCCTGCCTCTGCCTTGTGAGTGCTGGCATTAAAGGCGTGCACCACCACCACAGAGCACCAGTTTTATCTTAACAGGTGAGGAGGGTTTGATATATCTGGGCATTACTTACAAAAGAATCTAGGCAAGTAAGTGCACATACATTTTGTACTTCTTTTTAAAGCATCCATTCACACACACTGTAGTTAGAGTCTCTATCTTTTTCCTCCTTCCTTCTTTCCCTTCCTCTTCTTCTTTTTTTTTTTTTTTCCCCTTGAGATAGGGTTTTTCTCTGTAGCTTTGGGCCTTTCCTGGAACTAGCTCCTGTAAACCAGGTTGGACTCAAACTCACAGAGATCTGCCTGCCTCTTCCTCCCTAGTGCTGGAATTAAAGGCATGCACCGCCACTGCCCAGCTTAGAGTCTCTTTTAAGAAGATTCAGATGCCAGGCAGTGGTGACACATGTCTTAATCCTAGCACTCAGGCAGATCTTTGTGAGCTTGAGTCCAGCATGGCCTATAGAGTGAGTTCCAGGACATCCAGGGCTACAGGGTGAAACTGTCTTGAAAAAAACAAAAAAAAAAAAGAAAAACAAAAACACACCCTAAAAACAAACAGAAAATCCAGGAAAACATGTTATTTCATTTTAAATAATTAAAACAAAATTACCTCATTCTTACATATTAGATAAACATGGTATTTATAGTGATGGAGTGAATGATATAATGAATATAATTGTATTTTCTCTGGATCAACAGCAAACTCCTAAAAAAGAAAGAAGTTTACAGGTACTTTTCATGTTGAATGACAACCTTTAAATTGTCTTATATGGTTAGGTATGAGACTGTATGAATATACATAGAAGAAGCTTAAATATAAATAATATTTTAATCCATCCTTTAATAAGTATATGTTATTTGAAAAACTAGTACTATAGAAAAATCCAAATAGAAACATATAAGATAACAAAAGCCTTATTTTTTTGAGGTAGGATCTCACTCTGTAGCTCTGGCTAACCTGAGACTCAGATACAACTGCCTCTGCCTCCCTAGCAGTGGGATATTCTTAAAACTAGGCCCATGAGGCGGAGGCTGGCCTTGAACCCCTGATCCTCCTGCCACCTGCCTCCCAAGTATAACATGTAATTGTTACCAGGATTACCAGTCTACATGCAGAGTAAAAGATTTCTATTATGGCTTCAGAGATAAATGTGGATGGTGGCATGTTACATAGTCTTTCAGGCTCTTCCCCTAGGCTAGGCTTAAATATTTAAGCAACATTAATTTTCTGACAATAATGGAATCACCAAACACAAATTGACCCACACACCGAGCGCACAGCAGTTCCAGCATTTTTATTAACCTATAACTTAGAAAACTTTGGGTTTATTGTAGGTATATCATTCCATGCTTATCCCTTAAATAAAAATTATAAGAAAGCATGGATTTTTGACTAGCTTTTGACTATGATACCCCTAGTTCTTTAGATCTACTTTATTATTTTTGATTATGTATACAGTTGTGACTGAGCCACCTCTCCAGTCCCCTAGTTCTTAGAACTGTATTTGTCACAGTACAAATACACAAAGTGCTTGCTGTAGTGGTCTGAGAGACAATCAATGAGTCTATCTCTTCTTTGCATAAGTAAATAATTTTAAACCAAGCACCATGCATATGATTTTAATCCTAGTACTCCAGAAGCAGGTGGTTCTATGAGTTTGAAGCAAAGCCTAGTATATACAGCAAGTTCCAGAATGGCATAGCGAGACCTCTCAAAACAAAACAAACAAACAAAAAAGAAAAGAAAGAAAAGAAAAAACAGAAAAGTACTAAATATCACAGTCTTGTTTCTGAGACACGGAGGGTATCTCTACATCACCCTGGCTGTCCAAGAACTTACAGATACCCCACTGCTTCTCTCTGGGATGTGTGTATGACACCACATCCAGTCTTATAAACTACTTTGCAGTAAGTACATACTTTTTGCGTTTGTGAATGAATTTTACAAGAAATACCTTTGTTTTTGAGACAGGGTCTCAACCCAGGCTACCCTTGAAAATGCAGTGTAGCTGAGGCTGTCCTCAAACTCCTGATCCTTCTGCTTCCACTTACCAAACCCTGGGATTCAGGTATGTACTACCAGGCCTGAATTACTAAATATAGTTTTTGATGTGAAGCGGTTATACTGCTAAATTATTTTCTAAAAAGTTTGTAATTACTTATACAGTAGAGATAAACAGATGTCATTTTAGTGACTTTATAGACATATTAACATTCAATCTTCTGGGGCTGGAGACATGGCTCAGAGGTTAAGAGCACTGACTGCTCTTCCAGAGGTCCTGAGTTCAAGTCCCAGCAGCAACATGGTGGCTCACAACCATCTATGATAAAACTGTATACATAATAAATAAAATCTTAAAAAAAATCCAATCTTAGGAAGCGTATACACACACCAAAACATGTGTTTCCAAACTATACACAAGTAACTTTGAACAGGTAAAAAATGATAAATTGTCTTGTTCATCACTCCACAATGCATACATACTTTAAACACATTACACATAAATATTTTTAATAAATTAAAAATAGCTTTAAAACTATATGCAAACATATAAACTTAAACATCAGATGATTTCCCTTATTAGTCTATTTTATAAATTCTGTGAACACTCACTATTGCCAGGTACAGTTCACGGCACACAAAGGAGAAATAAGAGTGCCCCTTCCTCAGAAGATAGCTGCTTTTCTCCCCCCCCCCCCAAAGACGACACCTCACGATAGCACATCTGCTAGTTTCCATGGTGTCATGGGACTGGATTAACTGGAAAAGGTTATTCATTAAGCAATATGTACTTACCTGTGCAGACTTAGTGGTTGCTTTAGAAGTCCTTAGCGTTTTCTTATTATAAGTTTTGCCATTCATTTTTATTTTAGAAATAGCAGATCCTCCACTTTTTGCTTTAGAGTCTCGAGTAATAATTGTAAGTTCAGGAAAACTTTCCAATGCATTCTTTAAAATAATGAAGGATAATAACTGACATCAGAAGAAAACTAATTGAATTTCTAGTCATTCAAAATTTATATACACATACATGGATCCTTTGAACCTTCTCCCAAAGAATAAGGATTCTGTCTCCCCACTCTTTGAATCTGGGCTAATTATATGGCCTGATTTTTTTGAGCAACAGCACACCATGCTGAAGGAACTCCTGAGTTACTACTAGCAATGCCTCTCTGATTGTGAAATAGGGAAAATAGGAATATATGCATTTCTCACAATACCGCTTCCACCCTGACTAAAAACCCTGAACCAGAGCCAAACCAGGTACCAGGAAGTCATCAGATTCTAAATGACAAGAAGGACAGAAGACTGCTGTGTTTCAGGCTGCCCTCCTCTGGCTTTCTCTGACTGGACATAAAGCACTTATGAGAAAAGATCCTAAAGCAGAGTGTGATGCTGGTCTGACCACAGACAGGGTGCCACCACGGATGATACAGTGGTCACATGGCAGAACCGCCTATTTTATTTTTTAAACCCACTGACTTTTATGTTCTTACATGCTTGGTAAGTAATTGTGACCTGAAAAGCTAAATGCAGTAACAAAATGATCCCTGTTTACAAATGTGGTGACTTTGATCATAGTTTTCCTAACAGTAGATTTAGCTAACAGGACCTTGAATTATTCATTACTATATAACCCTTATTATGCAGTAAGGGTTAAAAGTGCTGCTGTTAGTTATGGGTAAGAATGTAATTTAACTTTCACTATTCTCTTCCAGACCTCCAGTTTCCACAAATAGGTATTGTGAACTTGAAAAGAGTACATCTTTCCTTTATTTGTGGGCTGTATAGAGTACTGAACCTGGGACCTAATGTGTTTTAAATACTCTACAATTCACTGAAATATATATCTATCCCTACTTCTCTAGCTCTGTATTACATATTTCTTTTGTTTAGATTATTTTTTTCGTATTTGTTTTTGAGACAGAATGTTATTATGCAGGCCAACCTGACAGGGACTCAAGGTCATCCTCTTGCCTCAACCTTAAGAATGCTGAACTTATATAAATATATACAATTACCATCAATGGAAAACAACAAACTTTGCCCATGTTGACATAATCAAATAGTCCCAGATGTTACACATTAAAAGGAAGTCTGGAAAGTTTTCTGGACTGAATAGCTTTTATGATAAATTTTCTGAATTCAGAGTATCTTTCAATTCTATATTTCACATAACAAAAATACCAACTTATGTCATTAAGATACATTAACAGTAAAAACTAGAATTCCTCATTTTTCTGCCTCTGCTTTCCAAGTGTTGGGATTATAGGTATATTATCACACACACAGTTAATCTTTAATTATAGATAAAATGTGTAAGTTTAAAACGACTTTAAAATTATTTTCAGGGTTTATTTTATTTTTTTACGGTGGTGTTTTTCATGAACGTATATACGTGAATAGTGTGGCAGAAGTTACAGGTGTTGTGAGTCACCATGTGGGACCTCTGTAAAAGCAGCACATGATCTTATGTGCAGAGCGACCTCTCCAGCCCACAATATGAAAGCTTTTGCAAGTTGTAAGACTGCATGCACATTTTGCAGGAAGATCACGCAAGCAAAACACCCACTCATAAACAGAAAATAAAAATATATCTTTGAAAAAAAAAGAAATAGGGGCTGGAGAGATGGCTCAGTGGTTAAGAGCACTGACTCCTCTTCCAGAGGACCAGGGTTCAATTCCCAGCACCCACATGGCAGCTCACAACTGTCTGAAGATCCAGTTCCAGGGGATCTGACACCTTCATATCAATGCACATAAAATAAAAGTTAAATAAACTATAAGAAATGTTTAAAAAAAAGGAAAAAAAAAGAAAAAAAAAGAAAAAAAAGAAATAAAAGGAATACAAGACTTGAATATGGGAGTTGAAGAGAATTAAGTTTGGGAATCATTAAAAAATTTTTACAGGAGGAACTTAACATAAATGATAAAAAAATCAATTTAAACATAAAACACATAAAACATAAAAACACATAAACAAGCTCATAAAGAATAAACAACTCTTGTTACATTTAGAAAGAAAGTTACAGTGGTGCTGGGAAGGAGTATAGAGCAGTGGCAAAGCACTGCCTAGCACGCACGAAGTCCTAGGTTCAATTCTCAGCTCTAGAGAAAAACAAAAACAAAACAAAACAAAAACAGTGCTCAAAAAATAAAATTACAGAATGACTTTAATGCATTTTTCTTTCTACTTGCTTGGGACTGACTACTACAGGGGTTTGCTAATGCATCACCAAGTGGAAGTACCTTGAATGGCTGATCCAGATGAAGATTCACGAGAAGTCTTTTGCGATTATCATTCAGCATTCCATCTATTTTTTTCATATGTGGTAAAAGTAGCTCGTCTGAAATAAGAATTTATTTCAATAGGATAAACTATCAACATAAATATTTTCTAATACCCATTTTTCCCCTTAAACCACTGGTAAGTTAGAAGACATTAAATTCATTGGCTTATGTAAAATACAGCTTTTAAGAAATAGGCATTTGGGGCTGGAGAGATGGCTCAGAGGTTAAGCGCACTGTCAGCTCTTCCAGAGGTCCTGAGTTCAATTCCCAGCAACCACATGGTGGCTTATCACCATCTGTAGTGAGATCTGGTGCCCTCTTCTGGCCTGTAAGCATACATGCAGGCAGAACACTGTATATATAATAAATAAATAAAATCTTAAAGAAAAAGGTTAAAAAGAGAAAATAAAGAAAAGAAAAAAAAAGAAAAGAAAAGAAAAGAAAAGAAAAGAAAAGAAAAGAAAGAAAGAAAGAAAGAAAGAAAGAAAGAAAGAAAGAAAGAGGCATTTGCCGGGCACTGGTGGTGCACACCTTTAATCCCAGCACTTGGGAGGCAGAGGCAAGAGGATCTCTGTGAGTTTAAGGCCAGCCTGATCTATAGAGCTAATTCTAGATAGCCAGGGCTAAAGAGAGGTCAGCTTGCACAGCGGATTATATCACAGCAAATGAGAAAGCAGCAACTGTTCACAGCAATGGGTGTGCTGCCACAGTCTTGCATTTTTAAGAAAGTTCTCATTTTGTAGCCCAAGGTGGTATGCAATATGCTATACAGACCAGGTTACCTTCATCTACCTACTTCGGCCTCTCAAGTGCTGGGATTAAATGTGTACATCATCACACCTGGCACCTTGGCTCAAGTAAAACAAAAGGATGCCCACTAGAAAGATAATCAATTTCTCTAAACCTCATTTATTATCTAGCAATAATACTACAAAATACAAACATTTTAAAATTCTATAAAACACTGAATATGAACAAGATTTGTTTTTCTGGCTAGTACTAACTAGACATGGGGCCAAGGCCTTGCACACACTAGTTAGGTAAGTGCCTTACCATTAACTACAACTCTGCTTAGAGATTTCCTTAGTTTATTTGTCAAACTATAACTCTAGCTGATCTGAACTTTTGGCCTAGAACTCACAGAGATCCACCTGCCTCTGACAACTGAGTGCTGTGATTAAAGATGTGCGCCACTACACCTAGCTGAGATATTCTTAACTTACTGTAATATGGGGCAAAGATGAAGTAGGGGAAGAAAAATTGGTGTACCTATTGTCAGAAGTAAGTCAAAATGGGTATGCTAGAAAAGGTGACACCTTTAACCCTGTCTCAACCTCCCCTCAAAACAAAAGGGGGGAGGGAGTAAAAACACAATGGTAATAAGTTAATCATTTTTTATATTGTATTAAATACCTGAGGTTATTAGACTGTTAATTTCCCAGTATAGCACTGGCATATATTACATAAGCCATACCTTAATAGTGTACTAATAAGTAACAGGCAAGCATTAGGGTAAGAAATGTCAAGTGTGGTAGCATACACAGTACTTATTAGCACTTGGGATACAAGAGGCAGTTGGATCTCGGTGAGTTCAAGGCCAATCTGGTCTATGAAGTGAGTTTCAGGACTGTAAGGACTATTTCACAGAGAAACCCTGTCTCAAAAAGCAAACAAAATAAATAAATATATATATATAAATAAAATAGACAATAGAAAAAAAAAACAACAAACCCAGGAATAAATAACAAAATAAAATAGACACCAGTGGGAAAATTCATTTAAACAAAAACAATTTGAGTGTGCTCCTTAGTAGGCATACCATTGCTCTTCTCTAGTGCTTGCATCGTGTCTGGATCCAGAGCAATGCTAACAAGCAACTCCATGTAACTCTTGAAAGTTTCCTTCATTGCTCTTGTGTTTAGAAAACGAGTGGCAAAGGGAGCTGGAGAATCAAATTCTAGGACAAATAAGAAAGAGAAAAGACACTAAATTTTTCCTTCCTGACAATTTTAATATTATTTTTCTTTCTAACAGTAGCCTATAAACAAGACTGAAGACACAATTTCTTTCCATTTAAATCTTCCTGATTCTTTGTTTAGAGACAACCCAGGCAGAGTTGGGGAGATGCCTCAGTCAGTAAAGTGCTAGCATGAAGATCTGAATTCAGATCCTCAGTTATCCACACTAAAAAGCCAAGTGGGAGCCGGGCAATGGTTATACCTTTAATCCTAGCACTTGGGAGGCAAATGCAGGCATATCTCTGAGTTCAAGGCCAGTCTGACCTACAAAGCAAGTCGTAAGACAGTCAGGGCTGTTACTCAGAGAAACCCTGTCTCGAAAAAAAAAAAAAAGCAAGCAAACAAACAAAAGTCAAGTTTGACGGCACACACTTTTTTCCCCCGCTTCGAGACAGGGTTTCTCTATAGCTTTGGAGCCTATCCTGGAACTAGCTCTTACAGAGTAGGCTGGCCTCGAACTCAGAAATCTGTCTGCCTCCTGAGTGCTGGGATTAAAGGTGAGTTCTACCACTGCCCAGCAGATGGCACACACTTTTAATCCCAGTGTTGGTAATGTGTAGACAGGAGGATCCTTAAAGGTTGTTGGTCAGCCAGTCTTACCCAATCACCACACTCCAGGTTCAATGAAAGATCCTGTCTCAAAAAGTAAGGTGCAAGGAACAGAGGAAGGTAGCAGAAACCAATCTCTGGCCTACACATGCACATATGTAAAGACACATTAGCACAGAAACAGACAGAAATATCCCAGATGAATAGTTGTGGCAGTACCTGCACTAAGGTGAGGCAGAATGAACAAGAGGAGTTCAAGGTCTAGCAACTTACCAAGTCTAAGGCTGGCCTAGTTCCCACATAAGAGCAAATCATTGTAGAGCTTGTTTTGTTCTGATGATTCAGGGTTTTGCATTCAGCAGTCTTCAAAAGCATTAACCTCCCAAGTGCTGATCTTATAGATGTGTATCACCAGGCCAGCACTGCAGAGCTTGTAATACAGAACAAAGCCTAGACTGGTAGCTTTCTCAAGCAGAACCTTTGCTGGTAGTAGAGTTAAGAATGGTATTAAAGTTTACACATATACAAAGCTTCCCAGGTGACCTTAGACACCTGCTGCTACCTCTTGTAGCTGTAGTCTCGATGATTTCTCTATGTCGAGTAAAGTAGGAAAGAGTTAGCATAGTGAAGGGACGCAGAGACAGGAGGAACTCTAAAAACTCAAGGCCAACCTGGTCCGCATAAGTTCGAGGCCAGCTAAGGCTACATACTGAAACTCTTGATAAGAAACCAAACAGCTGGACAGTGGTGGCACATGCCTTTAATGCCAGCATGCTGGGCTGGGAGAGGGAGAGAGGAGAGGCAGGCAGATCTCTGTGAATTCAAAGCCAGCCTGGTCTACAGAGCTAGTTTAAGAACAGCAAGGGCTACACAGTGAAACACTGTCTTGAAAAACCAAAACCAAACAAAATACTAAATGAAATGAAACACTATTAAGACAACCATGAACAAACATATTTCTTCTTTCTTTTCTACACATAAAATTACTACAGAATTCTAGTGGCATGTATTTAATTTTTTTTTAATGCTGTGGGAGCTCCTTTAGCCAATAGCCTTTAAGATAGCAGCCCACTTGGGTGTGGTCTCTTATCCTATAAAATGCTGCTTTACAGCTTGCGGTTGCTCTCGCTTCTGGCTGCTAGACTCTGTTCCAGATCCCCATTCATGCAGAGGACTGTGATCTAGGACAGTGATTTGTGAATCTCCCCTAAATAAATACCCCTTTATTATACTTAATTCTGAACTAGTGTAAGATTATTTTGTAGCGTCCATGATCATCTGGATCATCCCGAATGTAGAGACCAGTCCATACTTTTTGGGATCAGTTCGCAAGCTGCATGGCACATTGGGCATTGACTTTCATGCCTGTGGCTCAAGCCGGACCCCAGACGCAGCAGGCTGCCGCTCAGCACTCCCTGGATCGCGACCCACACACTGCCACCTGAAATCCCCACGGTGCACGCAGTCTGCAACATGCACTGATGGAAAGGTTTTCTCTTTTTCCTGAACCCAAACTCTCAGAATCGTTTGATCACCTACATCACTGCTCTTAATTTGATAAACAAAGCATATTTTTCAGTACCTAAGTAAGCAACATGTGCTGTTGGCTGCTGCTAGCATCTCTTGGCCATGGGGCGGCAACTGCGACACCTACTGGTCAATAACTATTATTATACCTACTCCAATTTATTGTAATTGCCTTAAAATAGGTAAGATCTGAAAAACTACAAAAAATGACTGATAACATCCAGAGGCTCAATAATTATTTTGCTTATAGTATGGAAAGTAATCTGCAAGGCTTATCCGATTTTCCTTCTACATCCCTTTATTTGATTCTAGGAATTAGCTTTCTTTCCAATATTAGCTCATTAAAAAAATGGCTCAATACTACAGAGAGGGATAGCATCAATTTGACAAAATTATCTTAAAGAATCTGTGCTATTGGGCTGGAGAGATGGCTCAGTGGTTAAGAGCATTACCTGCTCTTCCAAAGGTCCTGAGTTCAATTCCCAGCAACCACATGGTGGCTCACAACCATCTGTAATGAGGTCCGGTGCCCTCTTCTGGCCTTCAGGCATACATGCAGACAGAATATTGTATGCATAATAAATAAATAAATAATAATAATAAAAAAAGAATCTGTGCTATTGGGGCTGGAGAGATGACTCAGCAGTTAAGAGCACTGACTGCTCTTCCGGAGGTCCTGAGTTCAATTCCCAGCAACCACATGGTGGCTCACAGCCATCTATAATGAGATCTGGTGCCCTCTTCTGGCCTACAGGCAGGATACTGTATGTATAAATAAATCTTAAAAAAAGAAAAAAGAAAGGAAGTGGGAAGACATTTAAAAAAAAAGAATTTGTGCTATTGAATCTAACTATCAAAATCTGCTGAAAAGTTATGATGATACATTATCCTCATTGGACAAGTTTCATACCTTGGAATCCTCAGTGATGACATTAGAATTGAACACTGGACAGGAGATTCAGACATTAAAAAAGGCAGTAGTAAAAAGATTTGAAAAGATTGAGGAATTTATTGAAATTGATGACCAGTCACAGAAGGTACAAGGTCAGAATTTAGCCTCATCAACTGCATATCTGGTAATTTTCTCAGAAAGACCATCTGGCACAAAGTATCCTAAGGTAGTCAAAGAATATGCATGGAACCAATACTTATGAGTGATCTAAAAGAAATAAAGTGAGCAATAGTTTCTTATGGGCTACATTCACCATTTGTCAGGGAAATGGTGAAAACATGGGCTTCAAGCATTAAGGCAACTCCACATGATTGGATTCAATTAATCTCAGCGGTCCTAGAAAATGGAGCTCAATTGGTTTGAAAGTGTTATTGGAGAGAAGAGGCAGAAATTTTAGAGCAACAGGGGAAAGCAAAAGGATTTGAGACTTCCTAAGATCAAATTCTTGGCAAGGGTCATTACTCTGATCCTTAGGAATAGGCTCGTTATGATGAATGTACCTTGCCCCCATGTAGCACAGCAGCTTTAAATGCTTGCGACAGGATTCAGAAACCAGGAAAGCGGATTGAGTCAGATACGAGGGTTAAACAGGGCCAGAGAGAACCCTTTACTGACTTATTACAAATATTAAGTAAGGCTGTACAATTAGAAGTGACAGATCCTGACGATAGACATGTACTAATTGATTCTTGGCTTTGGAAAATGCCAACATAGAATGAAAGAAGATCCTTGGGTCTTTAAAGGTCAGATCAGCACCCATAGATGAATGGATCTTGCATACAATGAATGTTGAAACATTTGACTATAGTACTGAAGCTTGGGCAGAAGAAATTTCCAATGGCATGAGGAGACACCAAAATGTCAAATGTTTTAATTGTGGAAGAATAGGACACCTAAGAAGGGACTGTAGACAAGGAATTCCTAGGAATAATGTTTCCTCTAGGAATGGCAAGAATAGGAGGACTCATCCTTCTGGTATATGTAGGAGGTTTGGCAAAGGCCGACATAGAACTAATGAATGTAGGTCGACAAGAGACAGACAAGGAAACCCTATACCACTGAGAAACTTCTTGAGGGGTTCTCACAGGCCCCAATGTCAAACAAGGTCCAGTCATTCCCAGTCACTGTGGAGCACATGTCTCACCAGGAAAATAAGACAATCTAGTGTCTACTGTAAAAAACCATACTGTTCTGGATGATGGAATAGACCCGGAGTCAAAAACTCCAGTAGGAAACAGGAAACATATATTTTGGCAGACTTCTATAAATGATCAAAGACCAAAGCTAAGAATGCGTATAAATGACATTGTAATTGAGGGATTACTAGACACAGGTGAGGACGTGACAATCATTACTCCAGAATCTTGGCATCCAGATTGGCCTCTTCAAGAGGTAGATAAGGTTCCACCCTATCTCAAGTAAAACAAAGCATGAGGTGGGTTGAATGCATAGGGCCAGAAGGAGAGAAAGGAAGACTGAGGCCTTATGTAGCTAATATTACAGTTAATTTATGGAGCCATGACCTATTACAGCAACGGAATATCCAAGTTAACATTCCTGCACTTCCCAAAACTCATGTTTCAGGGAAGCATATTATAAGATATTATAAACGAAGGTCACCAGCCATTCAGGTTGTACAAGAACACAAAGCAACTAGGAAACCTTCAGAGGTACTAACAGCCTTGACTTTAAAATGGTTAACTGAGAAACACATATAGGTTAAACAATGGCCTTTAACGGAAGACAAACTGCAGGATTTAGAATAGCTGGTACAGGAGCAATTAGATGCTCACCATATTGAAGAATCAACCAGCCCTTGGAATTCTCCCATATTTGTTGTTAAAAAGAAATCTGGAAATTGGGAGAATGCTGACAGGTTTAAGAGCTGTCAGCAAGGTTATCCAACCTATG